ACGGAACAAATGCGCTTCTATTTTAATAAATTCAGCTGTCTACACAGGCCACATACTTACGTTGCATACTTGTGTTTTAAAGGCTTCAAGTCTATTTTGTTCCTTTTCCAAGTTTCCGTTTACTGCTTACCTGTGATAATACAGTAATTGTGTCTTTCCAAAACATTGGTGATCTACACTCAATACTGTTCCTGAAGGCATCCTACGTAGACACATGCTAAGCGCTGAAGCTGCTGATGCTTCTCTGCTGACGTGCTGCTCATGCTACTCCTCTGTGTTATAACTAAGAAGTAATATAAACCACATAATAATTGAAAAAAAAATCAGCCTACCAGTATTTAGTTTACTCACTGGTCTTTTTCTTTTTTCATTTTGATATCAGCATTACTTTGTTTACTGTCTCCATCTTTTTTTTTTTTTGCATCTGCAATGGGCTGAGCACATAGACAGCAACAATACAGACATAACAAGTTCTCCAGCATCCATTTGCAGCTGTTGCTTGCAGCCTTGACCAGCATTTTGGGTAGAAAGCAGAGAAAAGGAGTCAGACTGTAGATTAGCACCTGTACATTATGTTGAAATGGTGCTTTTAATTAGCCTTGCTGGCACCTTGCTATCATCTGGTTTCTCTCTTGCTTGCTTGTTCTCGCTTGTCCTTTAGTTGTTCCCCTTTATCCTCCTTCTCCTCCTCACTGTGTCTAATTCTGTCATTCTTTCTCTCAGTGTCTATATCTGCTCCGCCACACATGCAATTCAATGTGACCCCTTTGTGGCCTCCAGGCAGCCAGTCTGATGGGAGAGCTTCCTGCATGGAGCTTTTAGAGGCACCGGCACCCCAGGCCACTTCAGTAATGGAAGTCTCCAGAAACCACAGGGGCTCAGAAGCTAATGGTAATGTGTCCTTACAAAAATACTTCCTTTCTCTCTTTCTGAGGTAACATTTGTGACATGAAAGGCAACGCGGTACATTCAAATACTATAAAAACTGCTACAAAGTTTCTGTTTTTTACAGAAGGGGAATGTTTCAGACACACAAATTATTCCTTTTTAGACTTAAGTAGATTAGATTAAATCAAATAAGACAGGTGTTCATACAGCAAAATTCAGCAAAAAGAAATCCTGATTCTTCATTCATTTACAGTAAGTGCCTTAATAAAGAATTATTCCCCTTCTTTAAGAGTAATGGAAATAAAGGCAATATTCCCAAATGTATCCCCTCTCTGAAAGAGTAACACTTGCACCCATTCATTAAATTTTGATATATATTCATATAATGATATTGGGCTCCTTAAGAAGGACTTGTTCTTTCCCCTCAGTAACCCATCTTCCATAACCTGAACACACTTTACTGAGTAAATTAACTAAACCACCTCAATGTAAACTGTAGAGTCTCAGTAATAAAATGACAAATCAAGACTTTGTTGTTCAACGCAAGGATTTTGCGATTACGGCAAGGAGACGTACATGCTAACCATACACACACATTTCCACACTCACACCATCTGACCAAAGCCCCTCGCTGAAACGGACACAGCCGCTCAGACTGTGACACGATGGATCAATGCCGACAGCCCTCCGACCTTCCTCCTGCCCCATCTCCCAACACCTCCTTTGACTGACAGCTCCCATCAGTCTGTGTCTAATACTCCCTGGGCACACATGCATGGATGCAGTAATACAAACACACACACATCCCTTAAAAAAAAAAAAAACTACTTTTTTTTGAGTACTTGATCAGGCTCGTCTCTTATTCTTACCACCCCTGATTGTATGATCTTTCATTTCATCAGGTCACCTTGACATCAGGACAAATACTTGACATGCTGACATGCTACTTTCCAGTGTTCGGCAATGCCTGCGGTGCTAAAAGTAAAATGAGGATGTGATGTGCACATTTTGCAGGTACTCAAGGATACAGTGTGGACCGTAGGTGCCAGCAGATCTTACTATTGCTTAGTTGTAGTGTTATAGTCTGGAGTTAAGCTTTTTTTTTTGCTCATGCTATTCATTCAAAATGTACACTATAAGCAGACTGTAGTGCCTGTACGATGCAACATATCTGGTGTACTAGACCTTTTATATCGTTATGCTTGGAGGATGTTGTTTTTGTAAAACTTGTCTTTGTGAGACATTATGTAATTTCTGTTTGGTTTTCTGAGGAGAAAATAAATGCACATGAATGGAGAATAACATAGTGATGTCTTCTCCTGCATTGAAATGTATTGCATTAGTAAGATTACGTAATAACTGAGCAAAAGCAGACTCCCTGAAGCAAGTGAAGCTTTTACTCCAAAGTGTTTCAGACATTTGTTAATGTACTTCTTCTTTCCTTTGACAGTTACGCAATATTTTTTTTTTTTTTACAATAGCATGTTACATCATAGCAGTATTTGTTGGAGAGTTTAGACATGGGGCATGTCATGGAATGAAGCACCTAACAGATCTTACAGTTCGTTAATCCTCGCCATTTTTTGAGATGAACAAAAAAAAAAAGTTCAGTACAGTATGAAAATATATGAAATTGTCGTCCAAAACAGTTTTACCAGATGGAAGTTCTTGAATATAAAAATAAGTCAACATCTTCACAAAGGACATGTTTTGCTTTCAATTGATGTCCCCAGAAATGTGCTACTCACACAGAACACATTACACAGCTTGTGATCAACACATCCATCACCAAACACTCTAAACAGCAAGCAGGTAGTTTCAAGAAGTTCTTCCTCTGTGACACTTTCCTCCATCAACAAACAAATCAACTGCAAAATCCATAGTTCAAGAGGCAGCAAGACTGAAAGCTGGATACAGCAGCAACTGATGCTGGTTGCCGTCTCTCCCTCTCTTTGCACGTCTCTGATACAGCATGAGTGTATCTCTGGCCTTTGAGTCAAAGCAGTGCAGTGCAATAAGGGCTCCCCTTACACAGTGGGAGTTAGTGCAGCGCAGGCACATCGTGCTGCCCTACCAGTGCTGGCACATCAATACACTGACCGTACCACACACTTAAACCCAGAGGCTAAGATTCTTCAAAGTCAGTTTTCCTTATTCTACATAATAGTTTGCATGGAGGAAAAGTAACTAGTTTAGATATGTTGTGTTTTTTTGCCCCTGTCTTCCAAGTGCGTTGTTGCTTGGCTGGAGGTCATGCCCAGTAGCAAACGCAGTGACAGCAAGAGGAACGAAAAGGAAGTGAAGCAGGTGGCGAAAGAGGAAAATACGAGCAGAGGACAAAGGAAAGGGGAAGGTGAGAGAAGACGAGGACAGGGTAAATGGAAAAAGAGGACAGCGACGGGAGATGAGACAGGGGACAAAAGAAAAATAAAGCCTGGGTTTCTGCATGTAGCTCGCTCAGTGCGGTTCATATGCCTGCAGGTAATCTCTCTCCATCTCTGACCTTGAGCGCTTACCTCAGGACAATCATAACTTACGCCAACTCGAGAGAGAGAGAGAGAGAGAGAGAGAGAGAGAGAGAGAGAGGGGCACAGCGCTGACCCAAGCACATCTCTAGAGGAAATCACCCCCACTCGGGGGGGGGGGTTTACGCTGCCAAAAGCATTAACTTCCAACGTTTTTTTTTTTTGTCCAACACAGCATGCAATCAAGCAAGAAAGCAAGCACTGGCATTGTTTGTCTGATGAGTCTGTACACTGCACCTCTCTCTATTCCTCTGTTGTTTCTTTCTCTACCTTCTCTCTGCTTTTGACTGTGCTTTTAGTCTTTTCTCATTCGTTCCCACCATGGGGGGGATTCAGTGTTGTTCCCCTCAATTTCATAATTAGTAAAAGACAGCTATTGACTCTGCCAGAGTAGCTTTCAAAAAGATATGAAATTAAAATGGGAGAAAGGGGAAGGTGAAGAGAGGATAGAAAAGTGGGACAGAGGACAAAGGGTAGATGGGATGGGGGGGGGGCTACCTGTGTAGCATTGGTGCCACAACTCATTTAGTATCTCATTTAATTATTTTTTTTAAATGGAGCTGCCCAACACATAAAGAGCAAGTACTGAACCTGTAATTCAAAAGGAGGAACATAAAATAAATAAATAAATGTGATTTTTAAAAACTGGACTACATGGCAGTTATTCATTGTCTTTGGTCAGACATCCCCTCCTCTCTGCTTTTCAGCTTGACAGAAAACCAGGGTGGCTTCCTCTCAGAACGTTGCAGAGTGGGAGTGCTTATCAAGAATTAATGACGCCTTTCAGACAGAAACTTAACAAGCCATACTTATCAGGAATCTCAAAAGTACGATTCCTGGTGCTCAATAAGTTCGGGGCTTTCAAATTATGATGAATGCTTAAAATTACCTGATGAGTCATCTTAGATTAGCGCACTAGAGTTTTGAGTGAGCTTGTGCGTTGTGTGCTGAGGGAAAGACTTCCTCAACCCCCAAGATGTGGTGAGGCAAATCAGAAGCTGCCAAGAGAGGAGGAGGGTCGTGCCCATAAAAGTGGAAGCTTGGATCAGTGAGCAAACTACATTTTCCTTTTAGCAACTTCACAGGGTGAGATGACGTGAATGGAGGCATGAGAGTGTTCTTCAGTGGCAACACCTAAATCCAGAGCTTTCTTTAATGGGTGATGGTCCCTCTGTGCGTCTGTGCGTACACTGATTTAATGGACTCGATACAATCACCATAAAAATCAAATGGGTGACACGGAGTGCACTACAAAATCATTCAAATGACTGCTATGGCTGATGTTAATAGCCAGTGTTAAACACAAGCCCGGGTGGAGATGAAGAAGAAATCACTCCGAGTGTGCTTAAGATTTTCCACAGAAGCTTTTTTTGTGTACATATTTAACGGAGGCTCTGTCAAAGTCACTCCCTGCTAAATATAATAAAGCAGTCTGAGTTCCAATTCAAAGAGTGGCTAAAGTAAATTCCGGGACACTGTAAGAAGTGATCCAGAATTATTCACAGGAAACCTTACAGACCTAATTGATAGACAGACATATACAACCACACATTCAAATACATATTCACCAAAGCACGGGTGGCTTACCAGAAGTTGACCAGGAAAGGATGTTCAAGGTTCTGCATGATCTGCAGCTCTTTTAAGACGTTCCTCACTTCATTCCGCTCCACGCATTTTAGCTTGTTCATGTACTTCATGGCGTACATCTTCTTAGTGTCCTTCTTCTGTACAATACAGACCTGATCACAGAAAGGTACATTCTTTCACTGTTATGGTCAAAAGGAATACTGAATAATGTCTGTGTTCTGCTTGCACATCTCTGTCCTATGCTCCAGTACGCTCAAGGATGTTAAAAGTGACTCATACACAATATTGCTTTTTGCAAACTTTAAACAGCCAATCATCCAAACAAAATGATAATATAGTCCTTATTGCCAGTATGATAAACCGCATGATAACATATGATAAACATAATTATTCCTCTTGGGCAAAATTATATAATTCTAAAACTGTAGCCACAAAGTAGTGAGATGCATCATTCTTCTATGTTTTGTCAAGTATGGTCATTAGTTAGGTTGCATGATACATAGGAAAATAAAAATTCTGATGTCTGTTTGACACATCAATTCGTGTTTATTATCATTCATCCATGTTTGTCTAAAGCTTCATTACTTGAGACTCATGGACACATTTAGTGTTATAATGCAATAACCAGAAATGTTGCCCATCTAAGGCTGGAAGGAAACTTCAGGATTTCTCTTTAATCTCTGTGATCACAAATGTAATCCTCTTTTAAGATGTTCAACTTTTCACACCAGTTTGCCTTTTAGAGTGGGGAAACATCATGCTACCATTCATTAGAAACTGCTACTGCATGTCAGTAGGGAATGTAGACCTTTTAAACAACACTTGTTGCACTTACATCAGTGAAAATAAAAAGCATGACTCATGTGACGCAGCAAAATGCAGAATACAGCACCTGCAATCTGGGGAGCTGTTATTGCATGCATATATATATATATATATATATATATATATATATATATATATATCAAATTGTATATGATTACCCCCTTTTGACAATGCGTCCGAGAATAGCCACTATTTTCAATATGCAGCAGTGCAATACCCCATATTTATTTGTAGACGAGCTTGTGTGTGCTACAAGCGTCAATAAGCCAGTGATTACTGCTATCTAAGAGAGTGATCTGTGGACCAGCTGGCACAGTTAATCAGCCAAACCCTGATCGCATCACTCCTCCCTTTGAACAGCTTGCCATCTACTGTGATTAGACTGCTTATCTGTTGTTGGACAGAGTGTAGATGCTTTATGGGTCTGTGTATACATGTGCATGGGAGTGTGCATGTGCGTCGCTATATGTGCTTGCATGTACTGTAAGTGCTGATGTGAATTACTCTGCACTATATGGCTTAACAGCAAGACTGCGACCACCTCTGATTTGTGTCTGTGGAGCTGTTGGTTGGTCTCGAGCAAATTAAACCGGAAGGCTTTGCTAGCTTGTGTATGATAACTACTGACAGAGAGGGGACGCGGTATATCATTTGTTACGCCAAATGTCCACGTGCCTCTTTAAAAAAAACTAAAGGGGACCATGTAGAGCTGCAACAATTATTTAAACGATAATCGTCTGATAACTGATTATTTGAGTCAGTTTTCAACTAGAAAAGCTTAACTTTCCCCGCTTCCATTGTCTACATTGTAAGGATTTTCTGCTATTTGTTGTATAATGTGATAGTAAAATCAATAACTTCAGGTTTTGGAGTGTTGTTTGGACAAAACAAGCACTCTGATGATATCACCTTGGGCTTTAGGAATGTGTGATGGTCATTTTTCACTATTTTATGACACTTTACAGATCAAGTGAATAATCTAGTCAGTGATCAGTAATTGCAGCACCAGGATCATATGAAACATGAACAACATGTGATATTCTAATTTATTATGTAAGACTGGATCTAGTTTAGATATATTTTTAGGGTTTCACATATTACCTATTTCTGTTGGTCTTGTTTTTAAGTGCATCTGTTGTAGGCAGGCTCCTGAGCAACACTAATGTCCTTGTGGACTGTGTGATAGTTTATATGTCAGTACTGGTTTTTACCTTCCATATGTCCATCCAACGTATTTGTCTGTTTGTTTTCTTTTTGTTTCCCCATTTGGGATTAATACATTTATGAAAAGAAACATGGACTTACTTTTCCGAAGCTTCCTTTTCCTATTGCTCTCAGGATCTGGAAGTGGTCGAAATTTACTGTGAGAAAGAAAGGAGTAGAAAATCTTGGTTAATTTATATGAATTACAAAACAGAAATTTAAACCTGAAATCTGATTTTTCTTTTTTTTCTTTTCTCCTTCACTATTGAAACAAGGTGAAAATACTTTACAATATCAACAACAATATTAAAATGTGCTACAAGTGGATACAAGCTTCCATAGAAATCAAATGACACTTCAACTCTTTTACAATGAAAAATAGAACAAACTATCATTTTAAATGGATCATTGAAAATGGAAATGGATGAAGTGTACAGTTACAGTAGGTCTGTGAGGTTTGCTTTGAGCTCATTTGAACAATGCAGACAGTCATGCTGCAACAGATAGAGGTCTCCAGGGCAACAGCAGGTCACTGACATTATATAGCAGAGAATTTAAATGAGCTTCAGCATAAAGATGTCTTCTATGATCGTTGCATGTTTTTCTACCGAACAAAAGACTAATTTTTGCAGCTCAATATCCTTTCAGTCTCTATCATTCACTCTTCTCCTCTTATTACACATTGTCTTACTCTCTCTGTGTCTCACCCACACACACACACATACACACACACACACACACAACACACACACACACACACACACACATAAATACCCTAACCAGAGCTTAACTCCCTATCTCACTCTCCATCTATCAGCAACATTTATCGCCAATTGGAACCGGATGGGGCTGTTTGTTTCTTGCTGCCATGACAACCAGGACAGAAGGTTTTCCCTCTCTGCAGTTTCCTTGAGGATGGAGCAGCTGCTGCCCACTCTCTGCACTCCTCTGGCCATACACGTACATTCACAATGCATTCACAATCTTTCCCAAAAGTACACGTATATTCGACATAAAGTGCTGACTGAAAACATCACCTGCTTCTCCTGCGACTGTAGGCCTACGCCGTGCACACACTCAAACACTCTGTAATTCTGCCAGCAGTCACTAGATCTATTGGATGTGACAGTTAATGTTATGCTCCGTTAGTCACGTATCACTGGCACTTCCTCCTCTCACACTATCTGTGTTGGGAGTGTTTGCACAACCTACTCTGATAGGGACCATATGTGGCCTGCTTTATAATGCACACACACACACACACACACACACACACACACACACACACACACACACACACACACACACACACACACACACATGCATACACTTACAGATGACAATGTATATACTAAACATACACACAGACACACACTCCAGATAAACATGGTCATTTTCCTGCTGAGCTACCCAGATTCTCCTCTGATGGGTTTTTCAGAGAGACAGCTGTGGTTGTGGATGAGAGACAGAGAGAGAGAGAGAGAGAGAGAGAGAAAGAGAGAGGCAGGCATACAAAGGGGGACAGGGGGAGAGAGAGAGCGAGAGAGGGAGGGAGGGAGTGAGATGGACACTGTCACATTTACCAGCAGAACTTTGAATAGTTTAATGTGCTGTATTAAATGATGGACATATGAGTAACAGAGTGTGTACTGATTGAAATCTGCACGAGTGGAATTGACACATTGACAGCCTTTCCATGGCTTAAACTAACTGAGGAAATCATCTGACCGAGGAACTCATCTACCAGTCAATTGGAATTTGACTGACATATGCTAATCAGATTGGATTGAAGTAATCACGCTTGTTCCGTTTGAGTCTCTTGTGCCCTCCTGCATGACTGTACTGTAATGAATGTCTATACCCTTTCGTTCTGTCCGTCAGAAGTTGTCTCACAAATCACCACATGTCCACAATAAGCCAACAAACATTTGCTCTCTGTTGCTCTGTTTTGGGTAGTAAAAAAAAAAAAAAAAAAAAAGACGTGATCAGATTACGATTCTATTTTGTAAAAATGGGGATTATTTAACTGGATTATAATTTTAACATTACATCATTTTTTTCTTTAAAAATACTTAGCAGAGGACACATTTGTGATATTAAAAATCTTTCAATTCTTTTCTGTGTCCATACACTGATCAGCCCTAACATTATGACCACTGACAGGTGAAGTGAATAACACTGATTATCTGGTTATCGTGGCTCGTGTCAGTGGGTGGGATATATTAGGCAGAAAGTGAACATTTTGTCCTCAAGTTGATGTGTTAGAAGCAGGGAAAATGGTCCGCATAAGGATTTGAGCGATTTTGACAAGGGCCAAATGGCTAGACGACTGGGTCAGAGCATCTCCAAAACTGCAGCTCTTGTGGGGTGTTCCAGGTCTGCAGTGGTCAAAAGTGGTCCAAGGAAGGAAAAGCAGTGATGGGGGGCCAAGGCTCATTAATGCACGTGGTGAAGGCTGGCCCATGTGGTCCGATCTAACAGATGAGCTACTGTAGCTCAGATTGCGGAAAAAGTTCATGCTGGTTCTGACAGAAAGGTGTCAGAACACACAGTGCATTGCAGTTTGTTGCGTATGGGGCTACATAACATTATGTCCACCAGGGAACCCAGGTGGTCCTAATTTTATGGTTGATCGGTTTATTCTTTACAACGGTTATAATGTTCTGCTGTCTTATAGAATACACTTCCATTCCATTCCATTCTTATTGATATTTCTTGTCTTTCTTTGGATATTCAGTGTTGAGGTAATCCAAAAGTACCGTAAAGTGATCAGTTATGTTAATTTAACATTGTCATACTTGGATTAGGTTACTGACTACATTTTTTAACAAATACTTAATAATTGTATTTGATTATATTTTTAAAGTAACCCTCCTGACCCTGGTTTTGGCCCTCCGTCCACACTAAAAACTACATATACTCCAAAACTCACAAACACGTGGTCCTCTTTATACTCATACTGCTCGTATATTTTGGGCTGCTTGTGAATCTTTGCAGAGTTGTCCACATCGGCCCCTGTGGATATGTGCAAATGATGCAATTTACATTATTCAGATCCTACCAGCTACTCAGACACAAAACTTGCTATTTGAGTGCAGGCCAGTGTTTTCAATTGGAAGCCTGAAAACCGGCAACTGCAAGTTTTCACATGGACAAGGAAATTGAGCTTCTGGACAATGATGACATGAGCCTGGACAGGGTTGATGTATCATTAATGTTAAGAAGACAAATGCTTGTTCCCTCTGACCCTCTCTATGATCACTCATTTTCAAATATGAGGCTGGCATAATTTAATATTTTCCTCATTGTCAACAAGTCAAATGAAAAGGCCAAAACCAACAATGTGTTTAGTGAATCTCGCAATACTAACTCCCCTACTGTCTGTTGCACTCAGCCCCAAGCACATTTATTCAGACACAAATCTTTAGAAAACAGGGCACAAATAGATTTTTTTTTTTTTTTTTGAAGGCTCAGTAATTCCCTCAAACAGCAGTGCTCGGTAGTTTATAGTAAACATTACTTAAGTAGGTTAATAGTAGTTTTGTTGGGATCAGTGGCGGATTAATACTCATTTGCTGCTCTACTGAGCATTTCCAGCAGCAGGATGATGTATGTATGTGGAATTGACTCAAAATAAACTACTGCGTTCTAGTTCAGCCAGGAAGGAACATCAGCCAGTGCAACAGTGTGGCTCATTGATGTGTGTGTGCACTGAAGGGCAGGTAAATTACCTGTATCAAAACACAGTATAGAGGAGTAGGTGATTACAGACAGCAGGGGGAAACTAAAACAGTTTAACCCGCTGAGACTCTGTAGACAACCAAGATGTGTCTCTCCTTTGTTGTATAGGACAAAGAAGAAGAGATTCAGCTTTTGTCCTGCTGAGGTGTTTCTGTGTTGCAAACATAAGTGACGTTTTTAATTGTGGACGTACTGTCTCTCCCCCCCCCCACACACACACCACTCTCTCTACCTCTCATTCAACGCCTCTCACACAAAAGCCTGTAAATCACTTAAGGACCCACCAACGTGGTAACATCAGTGCTCTCATGCTGTTGCTCTGACAACTGAAACAAAAACCCATGGGTCCACTGCAATGTGAATAAAGCATGATCGGCAGTAAACAAGGCCTGTCCATTAACCAGAGGCTCCCGATTATACGAAGTGGAAAACGTATGTGGCACACAAGGAACACATGTGGTACACACATCATTCTCAGAGGAGATAAACATGTCTTGACAGAGTTCACCTTCATGCACCCACCTCTGTAAATCAGCTACTATAGGTTGAGTATGAACTACAAAATATGCACTTGACTCTGCACTGACGCCAGCAAGGAAAACTGTCTATGAATTTATTCTGAAAATAAATTCAGATTATTTTCTTAAAGGAAATTTAGTTTTAACATTTGCCGCTCTGCAAGAAATGTATTTAGAAAGACAGATTATTTTTTATATTGTCTTTGTGACACTTTTTGGTTCTGCTGTAAAATATTTATGTCTAGGTTGTTTTGTATATCTATACATTTACAGTGGTAGAAGTTTCAGATCCTTTACTAAGGTAAAAGTACTAATAGCACATTGTGTGTGTTGAGTCAGAAATACTTATTTCTGATAATTGGTCAATACAACTTTGACAATTCACTGTATAAACACATTTACTGATAGATATCCCCGCTCCCCTCACCCTTGATAACATTCAGAGGGTAAACAACTTAAAGCTGCAGTAGGTGACTTTTATGTAAATTACTTGTCAGGATACAGAGAAAGTTTCAGCAAATATGACAAAAACATAAAAAGGTTTCAAGTTTAAAGTAACTGCATTTACGTTGTTGTCTACTTAAGTCATACTTAAGATTAAAACTGATTTTAAGTCAGTTTCATAAATGAGGTCCCTGCATTCAAAAAGTATATAAATATTATCAGCAATGTGTACTCAAAGTATGGTAACTACTTTATATAGTGTAGGGTAGTTTAATCTATAACAATGTATCATATTCTGTAATATCATCATGTTTGTAGCGTCACTGTCCTTTGAGAACCACGTATCTCTTAAAAGTCAACTTTTCATCAGCAAACACAAACAGCCCTTTTTCAGTTTTGTGACAATGCATTTTCCATCCAATCCAAGAGCGTTTAAAAATTGTAATTGTAAACCAACTTGAAACTACAGCTATCAGACAAATATGGTGGAGTAAAAATACAATATATATGCCCACGAAACGTAACGGAGTAGAAGTATAAGGTTACATGAAATGGATAAATAAAGGGATCAAGGAGAACCATTTTTTGTAAACAAGGAACCTGTTCTTCATTACCACCAACTGAACAGTCAGAGAGTTTTTTCAACTGCACAGGAACAATAGATGAAAATGACCTCAGAGCTTTTACATACATTGATAATATATTTTAGAAATGTCAGCATATATTAAAGTTTACTGTTGAATTAACAAACAAACCTAAATCCCACCTCTGTGGCCAATATTACCTTGGAGCGACCTTTAACGTTCCTGAAGTGTAAAAGTGAAAACTCAATTTGCATCTTTATTGCTACTCAGAGAACTCCGCATATGATGTATACTCAACATGCAGCGAACCCGTCTGGTCCCTGCAACCTCAAAAGGAGAATCCTGCCTATGTCTGATGTGAGTTTCATCAGCGAGGGGGATTACTTTGTTTTCAGTGAGCGGGGCTTTTTCCTAATTCAAAACGATGTGTCTCTATGTTTATTATTCCCCGTGCCCTCGGTGAAATCGCCCACGCTGTTTTGTGAGAGAGAAGTCGGAAAGGTGTACTGTTGCATTAACTCAGAGTTCAGAGAAGCTCTGTTATGAGTGACATTTCCAGAACAGCACGCTAGATGACTAAGCAGCAAGGTTAACCATGAATAATGATTTCCTCTTTGATAGAGGTTGCCTCCAGTGAAAAAGAGAAAGCCACAGATATGGATTTCATCAGGGTGCGAGGCAGTAATTTGACACACAATAATGAAATACCTCTCTCACCAGATATACAAATAACAGAAAATTCCCATTATAATTAATGCAATTTTAACCCTTCAAATAGGTTCAACTGAAAACAGATATTACAGTTTGCAACTTTATAAATAGGAAACAAATGTATCACATCATCTAGGATGCCAGATACAGAGAAAAACCAATTTGCTCTCCTGTAAGAAAAACCTGGGAAAACCACTCCACTTCTGACTAAATCACTGACTCATGTAACGCTGACTTATTTGAAGTCCTTGGGGTTCAGCCAGAGTGGAATTAATTTCAGAGACTGACTCAGATCAATAAATTCACATTGTATTATCTACTCATGTCACAAAGAAAAGGGAAATAAATTCAAACCATGTAATACTAATGCCAATCAATGTAATAACTTTTTTTGACGCTGACCTTGATGGCGATCAGTGTGACAGAATTTAAGATAATAGTCTGGCAAGATTCAAGCAGGTTTCAATATTCATAAATATGAAGACTTTACCACCAAAGCCAGCATTAGAGGTAAAAATGTCCACAATAGTTCATTCAGTATCTTTGGGTTTCTGAAAACAACTTTCTATTCTATTCCATACCCTCTACTATATGTATCTTTGTGTAAATATACAATGTTGCGGCTATGTCAAAAGTCAAACTGTGGCTACAGTAAAGGGTATTCCTCTTTTCCATAGCTGAGGAAGACTATAGTGACAGACCTAATCAGCATTATAGCAGTCTTAACCATTCACGGTTAACAGGAATAACTTAACCCATTGATAAGACTGCAGACCCACCTTCCCAGTGTATCTTTACTGGATTTGAGCCACAAAAGTAGAGAAACCAAAAGAAGTCAAACAAGAATTCTTTTGGATGTTTCATTACTCACCCTCGTCTGTGTCATCGGTGACCGGAGCCTTGCTGGACTGTCCGAGCCCCATGGCTGCCTCCTCTTACAGATTCTCCTGTTATGCTCCCCTTAGCTCAACTCAGCATCAAACGGCCTCTCCCTCTGAGATGCACTCATAGCCTGGTCAACACTAGCCCCCTCACACACACACACACGCACACACACACACACACACACACACACACTTTGTCTCACGTGCTGGACTGCTCAACCCTGACACATACGCAGCAGTTGGCTCGGTTTTGCTGACTTGATCAGGTCCTGTCTTTCTCTTAATTCTCCACCTTGACACAGCCACACATCATTGAGCACACTCACACACACACACACACACACACTCAGTAGAGCGCTTGGGGGAACACTAAAGGCACTGAAGCGCTGACACACTCTCTCTCTATCTCTCACACACACACACACACAGGCAGTACCACTACACTGTAAGTTTCCTGTCTGTCTTCACTGCTGTTTAGATGAACGCAGGCAGATGGACGTCTCTTGCCAGCCGGGAGGAGGGTGGGTGATGTGTTTGTGGCTGTGACCCTCTGTTGACTGAGAGTCTAACCTGTGAGGGGAGGCAGGAAAACATGACACCACCAGCAAAGAGAGGGGAGGAGGGGCAAGGGGAGGGAGGGAGAAAAAAGTAGAGAGGTAGAGCCATGAGACATGGACAGCTCCTACACAGCATCTAATGATCAGAGGAAAGATCCACACAGATAATAGAGTTTTACTAAAAGAAGAAAAAAACATGGCAAACTTAAATGACCTCCAGTAATAATAGCATGACAGCAGGTATATTAATGTTAATGCTGATTAGAAATTAACTTGATTAGTGAACGGGTGGAGGGGAGAGGGAGAGACTTTATTTTTACATAAGCAGGTCTCCCTCCTACTTCTTTCCCTCCTTCATTCCCATCCTTACTTCCTTCATCTGTCATTTATCAATTATTTAATTTTTATATTTTTAATCTCAGACTCATCCCAGTGGAGCGCCGTCTACGAGTGCATGTGTGATGAATGGTATGATCTGTTTTCCCATTAAGAAAACAAAATTGGGAGGCTTCTGATTTATAGTTTGCTGGTGTTGTGCACTGTAAATGGAATCCCTCAGGCTGCCCTCTTCAGGACATGAAATTGCATGACTATCAACGCTTTTGTTCCACAAACTGACAGAAAAAAATAAAACTGCTGTCTCATGAAATATGTAAGCCTGGATATGAACTAACCAAATGTGTAGGCATGTCAGTAGGCTGTGTATCCCTGTAAAAGCCTCGTCCTAGAGAAAGTTGGTGTGTCAGAAAAGTAAGTTGAAGTTTTTAATGACATTAATTTCTTCCTATGGCACTACAATATTCATATCACAGCTCCACTATGTGGGCTTGCTGTTGCATCCTTTTAACAAGGAATGACAGCGTGTCCCATAACAATATCTTAAAGGAGACTGAATGACTGACCTGAGTTATGATGAGATGCGTTTGAGGCTTAAATAGGCAAACTTCAAGTCATCGTGGCAACATTCAATCCGCGAGGGGAAACCCTTTTCATGAATGTCATTCCCAGACTGCATGATAAGGTCACCACGGCATATGTGAATAACCCTCTTGGGGTTAAATGAAATATTCAAAAACTAGTGCGGGAAGCCGCAGTGCTGAGCTCCCCGCAGAGGACATTGTGCCTCGGATCCCTTATCTGATCAATTGAAGAGAAACATGCGCTGAATAGAAAGTATCCCCCCCTCCCGCCTCCTCCTCTTTACCCCCCCTACATCCATGCAGGGCAGATGTGGGCACTTACCTCTGAGCTCCGCCGGTTAGTTGAGCATAGGACCATTTCCAGCCCGGTTTTGCTGCAGAGATGTGAAGCGACAGGGGGTGGGGGGGGGGAGCAACAGCGCACCTCTCAAAGCATCACTTGTCCGGTGTTCGGACGACGACGCACCGGGACACCTGCCACCCGCAAAAAAAAAAAAAAAAAAAAAATGGAACCACACAGCGAGACGTGACTTGCTGGTTTGCGCCGAAGGAGTGCAATGCGAAATCCCCTGTCTCTGGAGGACAAGGGGACAAATGGAGCAGAGATGGGGGGTTTAAAGGGGGGGAACTGCTCGGCGCGTTGCACTGATGAGCGACTGACCTCCACATCGCCGCCTGTGTTAATGGGGCTGGCCACCACCGTGCGTCTGGAGAGGCACGTTTCATAGGCTGGCCGGGCTGATCTGCTGTAGCTGTGGGGCTGAGGTTTCCCTGTCGTTAACATTCGCTCATCCCCCCAAAAAAGTTGTATTCTTTAAGGCATTTTTTAGTGAGATACCAAATATATAATATATAACAATATTTACTGGAATATTACATTTTGGGACTGTCCCTTTCACAGCTACAAGTTTACTGAAAAGTCAGTTCAGCACTGCAGAGTCACTGTATAGCCTCTGTAGGACTTTTTCTTTTGGGTTATAGCCTAAAATGAATACGTGATTGTCATTTATCAATAGCCCGCAGTGGCCAAACAGTTGCCTATTCCAACAGAACCTATGCGCATGTCTGGTATTAAAAATGCTGATCTTTTTGTATCAAGCATAACTTTAAAATTCACATTAACCCATAATACTCTATTTATAATAGACTTTATTGACGTATGCAGGGAATTGGTTTTTATTCTCTTGCTCCCACCAGAGTCAGGGGTCATGGTCAGCTTTAGAACAGCGCCCCCCAGAGCTCATACTGCTTTGATACCTTCCTCAAAGGCACCAGCAAGGCAAATTGTCGATAATGCTGTTTTAAACCTGGTGGCCCCCAGCTAAGGGGGAGTCTCTTTATAGACCAGATGAGGCTGCTGTCTCATAATAGCCATTAAAGTTATATGGAAATAGTCATTATACAGTGAGAATAATGGACACTAATGTCTCTCTGGTGTTCTATTGTGAGTCTATACCTATCTTACTGTGTTTTTTATCTCCTTAGGCATCAATATAATATTCACTATATACCAGATCCTATGATAATTTTTCTTTTATTCGAGCAGTCGGTGCCCAAATTTACTTTGCTTATCATCTCACAAAGGTTTGGATTATTATCATAATGACCTTAAACTTATAAAGTTGTTATTAAAATAGCATGCAACAACTGAAATAATATAGTAAACCTGAAATATAAGATTACTCATCGCAGGTGTTAACCTAAACCTTATATAAAATAAATAAAACATGGCACCCTCCTCACTTACCCCAACAACTACTGTCATTGTTTGGGGTCCTGTTGAGCAAGTCACTTAACTCTCCCTGACTTCATCGGATCATGGTTGTACTGGACAGCCAGCAGGTATAGAAGTGGACACCTGACTGTGTAGCAAAGAAAAACTCTAAATCCAGAATATGTGTTTGCCGCATAGGAATTTGCTGTCTTTTGAGCAGATTCCTGCAGTCAGACCTCTCATCATGCATTAACTTCTGTGGCCATTAACTACTAACTCTAAAACACATCCGTCCATTATAAGGACTCCACGGTCACCTGGGTGTTAATTGAGCAGGCCAAGGTCAGGAGGAGAACGGCTGAGTGGTAGGGACTGTGGGACCAGATATATGCTTACAGCGCACACTGTACATTTTCTTCCTCTTTATGCCTCTGTCATGCCAAGACTCACTCAATGTGGGCCATCCATCTTCATACGGAGGGAGGAGACAGACCGCCAACTCTCAACACACGCCATGAGAGGTGACGAGCGTCACTCAGATTCAGGCCAATGCCTTATCGGGCGTTTGGCAGTGTCGGGAAGTGTGCTCCTCTTTTAGATGAGATGAGTGATGACAGTGTCGTTTCACACCTGGACAGGGACTGAGTAAAGCTACTTGACACTCAGGAGGCCTCAGCGTGATGCTGTCCTAGTTTTGCAAGTGAGGATCTTTATTTTTTTTTGCCTTTAAAGAGAATCAATCTTGGAGAAGTCATGATTATATTACATTCAAATTAAAACTATTTGCAGAACTTCTCAGGACTGGAGGATGTCAAGTATTTAATTCTGTGTAATTAGCCCCATCTGGTGGATAAAAAAGACATAACATATATGACAGCAGCCAATATTAATACAGGAAGGGTCTTATGGGAATAGAATGTATTTATACTTCACCTCCATGATCAATATTACAGTCAAAGTAGCAGCAGTTAAACACCACCCTCCTCCCCAATGCACTCATGGTTTATTATGTCAAACATATATCATGGTACAGGCTATTAAAGCTTTTCTATTTGAAATGTACACATTTCAACAGGCATGTTTCATACTTGAGGGTTATTTTACTGCAGGTAATATATGTGTGTATATACATATATATGTATATATATGTTTATATTCTACAGAAATTAATATAAACACATATGGTTATTTGCTTAACCCTCATCCTACCAACATATTTAACATACAGGGACTACCGACTTGGGTCCCCAAGAATAAACTACTGTAAAAAATACCCATCATAAGAAAATGATCATTTATTTCTTCTCAAAACCTAGATAATTAATGTAACTGGAAATTATTAATATTCTCTCCTTCCTTAATTTGATAGTCATACATTTTATTATGCACCTTCATGTATTATATTTAAGGTAGAGGTGTATTTACATTTTTCACCAGTGTCTATCTCCTATCCTGTACCCCCCTGATAGTGTGTGATACTGTGTGATAATTAAGACCCATGGCAAACATGACCTCAATGAATAGCTACATCTATTAAAATTGCATAGGTGAAATTAGGTGCTTTTGACCCAGTACACTGGTATTTTTAAAAAGCATCAGTTAAAATAGAAACAGCAAACAATATGAATTCTGTAGCAACACGCTGATTGACAAAGTAATGAAACATTTTAATGATAGAATAAAGCACCTGTGACGTACGACAAAAAATATACTTCTGGGGTCTGCAGGTACCCCAGTCAGCAGGATAAGAGATGTGTTAAGTGATAAGTGTTCGTAATACTCAGTTGCACATTAACTTTATTGTTAACGGGTTTATTGATATGATTTGCTTGCCTTTGTTTTTTCACTTTGTCATTGCTTTCGTCAGTATTTTTACACTGTGGTATTGTTACTTTTACTTAAGGAAAAGATCAGTCTACTTCGCTAAGCTGGCCTAAGGCAAATTACTAATGTATGTCTCCTCAGTATTAACATTTTTGACAAAAATCACAGCCCACTCTCCTCTCAAGCCTGCTTTGATTCTTCAATAAAGATGAGCGGTGTCTTATCTGACACAGTGGGTAGTCTCCTGTCCTTCCTGTGCAGTTGCATAATTATTTTGGAGTAAACAGAGGGTGTGTTAAAATCTGTCCACATGCATACGTGGCTGCGTGTGTGACAGACACAAACAAAGGCTCTGTTAGTGCAGAAGGTGTCAGTGAGTCATGGCGATCTTTAACCACTTGTTGCTTGCTTTGTGTTTGGTGCCGCTGGTACTGAGCTCCCCTTTCTACCCACCAACATGCTACAGCAAGGTGCTGACCATGGCACGAGAGGTCACACAGTGGGCTGCATATTTAAAGAGGGACCATGAAACTGTAAGTCAGCTGTGTTGTCACTCTTTTCTCTATTCTTTAATGGTCAAGTTTATTTGTGTGCCATGCTGATTTTTACTTACTTTAATATATTGGACTATGGACCACATTGGAGGTCATAATAATTGTATTCCTTCATTTATTATCCAGGTACAGATTAATTAATTAATTCATATAGTTGAATCCTATGAAATCAAAACACAGAAGGCTAAATGCAAACAAACGTTGTAAAGTTTTTTTTAAATTATTGCTGCCCTGTTGTTTATTATATGTTTTACTGTTGATCATATTTATATTTTTCTATTTTGTTGTTGATTGTTTGTTTTTTATTGTATTGTAATGATGTAAGGTGACCTTCAAGTGCCATGAACATTTTTTACCCTAAATAAAATTTGTTGTTGTTGTTGTAATTAGATTATCCTGACAATGTTGAATTTTGATTCATATTGTAATTTTTGTGTTTATCCAGAGTTTCTGTATGGCGCACATGCCAGATCTCTACGTTGATGTTCATGTGAGTATGTCTTAAAAATTTCCCCATGATTGTAACAAAAAACGACTTATGGTGAATCAGACTGTTATTAAATTAAAAGGAATTTTAAGATAACCCCTTCTCAGTGACGTCAAAAGAAAATATGTCTTCTGATCAGTACTTTTAGTCAATGTTTATCTTTCATTCCCTGCTTTGAGTTTTCTGGCTGTCCCAAACTTTTCTACTCCAACGTCTGTGGTATTTGACTGAAAGTCTCAGTCACGCAAAGGGACACTAATTGCTACTCCTGCTGTCAGAATTCCTGTGTGATGTACAAAATGAGGACCTACATCTCCCTGGTGGAAGGCCTGCGACAGCGCCGCTGCGCTTACACCAGAGAAGTGAGGAAGCTGGGTGTCACTATGAGACAGCTCTTCATCATCATGTCAGAGAAATGTCACGGGGTAAGACAAGACAAACAGTCCAAATAAGTTCAACACAATGAGACTATATAAGTACCATAAAGGTAAATCTATTTGTGCCATGAAGCAATAAAGGCAGAGAGAGATTTATTTTTTGCCACTGGGACTTGTTTCGGACCTCATATTCATTGCTGCATTTGTAAATGGGAAAGTATAGCAATATCTTAAAGATACATTTATGGAAAAATACTTGCACCTTAAATCAGTTTGCAAAGAAAGACCGTTAGACCGTACATTATCTTGCATTAAATGTGCATTTTTGAAAGAGTGACCTTTTCTTCTGTAAATAGGGAAGGTAAAAATTGTAGTAGTAGCAGTGTTAGCAAAGGTTTTACTGTAAGACACTACAGGAGCACTATGTCGAGATTTTGTAAACAGCTAATCTTTGAAAAGTTACATGATATATGACCATCTAATCCACTTTATGTATTCAAAGAATAGACTGTTGTCTTTTCAGTCATTGTGGTCCTTTCCCAGGTATTTAACTGAAACCTTACAAGAGATGATAACTGTTTATAATAATACTAATAAAATATGGCTGTAATCCAGCACTGAAATTAATTAGGTCTACTGTACATGGATTATACAACTAACTTTCCATTATGGATGTTAAATTTAAAAGAACTACCGGCTGTATATCCGCTGAGCAGGAGTCTGAGTCACAGCAGCCCAACATGAGACAGGAAAGGGAAAACAGACTAATACTGATGAGATGCATTCAGACTGACTGCTCTGCTGGTTAATGGGTCACTCAGTGGGTCATTTCACAGGATTAAACAGGGTTTATGATGCGGATTATGAAAAACGTTAAGTGCTCAGTGGATGTTTAAGCCTGCTCACCTGAACTGAGCCAGACACATCTGGGTTTGCAGCTGGTTTCCTATGACAGACTGAAATGACCTGTCTGTGCAGACCAGGCCACAATGTCTCGACAAAGGGTTAGAGGTAATTCACTTACGGTCATTTCAGTTCCGGTCATTAGAAATCTTGCAATTTCAATCCAAATAATGATAGATTTAATTTATTAATTTATTACAACGTGAATCCTGAATGAAGATCTTATTCAATTGTACATGCATACTAAACACGTCTATTTAACTTTTTTTTTTTTTTTTTTTTTTTTTTTAACAGGACTTGGCATTCAAGATCCATGACTGTGCTGCACTGGAGCGCTAACATACTGGATCCTGAACAGCAATATGTCTGCTTAAGGAGAGTGAAGAGACAGCAACAAGAGTTGTTCTGTGTACATTATTCAAGTGATGATTGAAAGTCACAAGACTGACTGAAGTTATGTATGGTATCTATGGTATCGTTCCTAAAAAATTACTTTAATCATCTGTTGCCTGACTCTAATTTGGTTTTATTGTCACTAGTTATCACATCTTTCTTATGGAATCTGATTGAGGAACCATTTCATATAATAAACTTTATTAAAATGCTTTTTGTTACTCTCATTTAACATGACGATGGAGTAAAAAAAACTACTGCTGTATATAAAATCAGGGTTATCACAGCTACAGTTCATGCACTGCAATATTGTCCAGTCTTACTGAAATTACTCTTCACTCTGCCAATATAATCAGTGTACTTCAAGATTTATGCTCTATCTAGTGCACAGAAAGAAACAAAAATATATTAAAGCATCAAGAAAATTAAAAGACACTATATATAAATTGTTTTATTCTATTCTAAAAATATGTTATTTACTTGTTTTAATTATGCCACTAATAATATGAAATGCAGTGATTTAGGGTCAGTGAGTTCACACAGCTGGTTCAAGCAAAATGTGAAAGACAGAAAGACCTTTTTCTCAACGGACATTTTCACTTGTCATAGCAGGGAAAGCAGAGGTCTTAATAATAACATTAATTAGGCCTCTGATGGATTCAAGTGCCCCAGTAAGTCGAAACAGTGTGACATTGAGCCAGCTTGTACAATACAAGAACCGGAAGCAATTAAATTAAATTCAGACATCATTTATTTCATTATTTACTCCTGTGCTTTTCTTACTGTGAAATGACAAAATTTCTTCTTCTGTGACAAAAGGTCTATTGTTAGGCCTTCTGCCATTTCTGTATATTTCTAAATCATCATCACCAACCATTTATTATTGTGTGAATGGATCAAAATGACTTGAAGTTAACAGGCACCAAAGGGAGGAAGACAAAGTGCATCAAGTATAAACATGTTAGGAACTGTGCGAAGCACACATATACAATGGTGACAAGTCATTAGTGTGTAGAGATTAGCAGAAATCTCTGTGGGCTTGGTTGGACTTGCATGAGCTTGTCTCTTTACTGCGATCCTTTCGAGATTTAAAGGAAGAGTTGTGATGAAATCTCTTTTTCATAATGTATCGTGAATGTAAAGTGGTACCCGAAAACATTTAACAAGGGGTTTAAACATTAAGTTTGAACAGCTAAGATAAATGGATAAATATATCTTGATAAATATCCTGAAACAGTAAAGCTCCTCTTTAAACGCAACATGCCAAATTATGTTTTCCAGTCTTTAAAATTTAAACAGGTCAGTGCAGAACTGATGATAATCAACAATCAACCCGCTGCCATTAATCTTCCTGAACATAATTAGTAATTCAGCAGTTAATTGTTTGGCTAATTTTTTCATAAAATGACTCATGATATAGTAAATCAAGGTCAGTGAGTTTCAATCTGAATCAGGATTTATACATTCTGAAAGAAAACTGTTACCTGAAGTTCACTGACAGATATTTCCGGACTACCAGTGGTTACATCCTCCATAAATGTGAGTATTGTGTTGAGATCAATAGTAATGGGGCATGAGGTTAATTTTAATGACAACAAACATTTGTACAAAGAACAGCTCACACTCTTCAGAACCTGGTGTCTATCAAATAATCCACCTGAGGTTAATTGCACAACAAAACACATTAACCTACCTTTGGTTCTGTAGTGTTTAGGGTTAAACTGGTTGACTGATTGATTAACAGAGAGTAGAAATAATAGTTAGAAATGTGAATATACAAAAACAGCACCAATTCCTCACGGACTGATTCATTATTTTAGACTTGGAAGTTCAAATGCCTTTGCAATATATATTCAATTTAAAATATAAATATAAAAGCAGAAAATTATCGCATCTGAGAAGTTGTTTGAAGAAGTAGTCTTGCATTTGTGCTTGATCGTTCTAGCACTAATAATATGTTCATCATCTGCAGTTGCTCATCTGACTGTTTTGTCTCAATGTTCAGTGTCTATTCCCACGTGCTCAACAGGTACACCTTCACTGAGATAAGTGTGCCACTAGAGGGCGCCATAGCGCTGCATGTAGGCTACAGGGGAAGAACAAGTGATTTGAGCCTGCATGTTCATTTAAATGAAAAGAGAATAAAAAGAACAGTGCAAATTATGATTTAAAAACCACATTCAACATTTTCTGTAAACCAAACTGTAATTAAGTGTCATCCAAAGTCTGACTCTCACTCATTTTATTCTGTAATAAAAAAAATCAAACTTATAAGCAATAGCATTAGACGTTGTTGTAATACACTGGGGTGAAAAAGAACAATAAATGAAGGCTACAATAAACGTATACCTGTCTTCCAAAGAGCTCCAATAGAAGTTCAGCAGTTGTGTTGATGGCACAGCTGCTGGAGCCGCCAGAGGACCCGCCCAGCACCGACCCGGACATGAAGTCCTTTAAACCTCATCAGCGCAACTGTGACGACGGCTCTCGCTTTCAAAGAAACTACATTTCCATGACGGCAGTGGGAGGGTTATTGAGTAACGAGGTGGGGCGTTTTCACACAGTTTGAAGCAACAAGTTGCCCTGGCAGTCAGGCAGACAGGCAGTCAGTCAGGCAGACAGACAGGCAGGCAGGCTACTCCATCGTGTTTCCAGCGGCAGGTGGTCACCGCGCGTCCAGCACTACCGCAGCTTGTGGATGGGATTATGACCGCAGAGCTCTCAGAGCTGAAATGGACGGAGTAGAATAAGTTCCTTTTGAATTAGCTCAGATCTTTTTTTCTTTTCTCTACGAAGCAGAAAGTGAAGATAAAGTGGTAAATTGGTGGATAAGTGTTGTTGACGGGGTGCGCGTCTCTGCGTGATGCTCTGTGCGTAGAGCCTTTTTCATACTTACTTTTTTGTTTATGTTGTTGCGTTGTAAACAATGGCACTCGCAAGATTCAGCAGGATTCTGCGTCTTCCCACTATTGAAATAAAAAAGAAAGTCAAGCAGTACGAGCACGTCCACCGGGACATCAACCCTAACGACATATGGGAAATCATTGGGGAGCTGGGCGACGGCGCGTTTGGAAAGGTCTACAAGGTAAGTGTGGATTTAAAAACACCTGTTTGTAATTCTTAATCCTCTCAAACTTTCATAACTTCCCCAAGTTTAGAAGCATTCTGTGATTTCAGAAAAAAAACTTCCTGGACACGTTTAAATTTTGAAATATTGTTAATTAGAAGTGACAGCTCTTACATCCGTTTTGTTTTAAATAGTGTTTCTGATGTGATACACAATATTTTATATCCCATGTTCTTAGAATAAAGTCTGAATAATTTAGGTGTGAACCACTTCAGATCACCTGTGGATGCTTCACCATCCCAACATTGCTGAGATCATGACTGGTGTTTCAACTATGTTGTTGATCCAGAGTTACCCTGTCTAACACCATAGTGTAGTTCTGGGTATCTGAGAGGTTTTCCACTACCAGTGGATGGAAGGTTTTACCTGTTTAGGATAATAATCATTCATTGTACTCCTGGTACTCAAAGTTCATGTCTACCTGCTGAGATCCACTTCATCTTCAGTTTTATTCCTTTTGTGTATACCTTGTTTTGTCTTTCCTCAAATTTGGCAGTTTTAAATCATCATAGTTTTACTGAAGTACATGTAAAAGAGACCACTCCCTTCTCTTGTGATTTTCTGCAAACGTATGCAGTACGGAGACAGCCACCTGACTCCCCCGCTCCTTACTGTGAGCCCAGTGTGAAGCAGCCACAGTGACAGTGAAAGCACTCTTCATTAGTTTCTGTCCTTTCCTCTCAAACCTTCAGCAGCAGCAGCAGCAGCAGCACTTTTGGCTCTGAGGAGTTATTTAATCTGGATCTGTTAACTGGTCAGTCCCCTCTGTGAAGCACGCCACAGGCGCTCTGTGTCTGCACTGCCCGGCAGAGCACAGTGAGAGTCTTTGACACATTGGGGGCCTCAGTGGAAGAAGTGATGCCTTACCAGAGGTCCGCACTGAACAGAAAATGTAGTCTTTTTAGAGGACTCCACCTTATTTAGGTATTTTGTTTTTGCTGGACAGTATACACGCTTTGGGGCAATGAAACAGGAGCACAGACATAGGAGGGATGGTTTCTGAAAGTTCATCAGTGCAGCCTTGCTTATATAGCCACAGGTCTAATTTAAGCATGACGTAAGTTGTCCCATAATGTATCTTTTGAGCGGAGGAAGCATGTGAGAAGGCCTGTGGATGGTATTTTGACAACACAGAAAATAACAGAAACACAAGTCAGGCAACCAGTATATGAAAACAAACAAAGCTTTCAGTTTTTGCTGAGCGACTGATTGAGCACGAGGTATTTACGTTTGAAAAAGCCTTTTTAAAGGTTACGTACAGAAATTCAAATGGATTTTTACAGTATGGTAGCATGCAATCACAATTCAGCTCCAAAATGATTCAAACTAAATCCAAACTAAAAGGCAGAGATGATTCCTGGCTTATCAGTGTGTCCATTCCACTTGAGTAATTGGAAAGCTTTCTGAAATATTATGGGGCCCCACGATATGTTTCAAATGTCAAGCCTTCTTTGGCTTCTGTTTCCTCTCCTTGAGTGCGTTTGGAGGAGGACAGCCGCACACCTGCATCTGTCAGACGAGGGGAGGGAGGCGGAGTGGGAGCAGATGACGGCCAAGAGAGGAAATGGTGGGACTTCATCAGGGGACAACTTCCCCTGAAAGCTCCCGAACCTGAGCATAATCGGCTCGTCTGTAGGAGTGAAAGACCTCAAGTGGTGAATCCCACGTTTTCCGTTGTTAAAGTCTTTGATAGGGGGAAGGCGTGAGGGGGAGGAGATTTGTAATATGTGTCACATATTTAGACTGTTTGGGACAGAAGTCAAGTAAAAGAGCTGGTTTGAGATATGTGACAGTCAGCAGGGGAGCAATACTCATTGCCTCTTCATAAAAAGATGAATTCTCGTCATTTGTACGTGGCATGGACCCCTCAGGCAACTCCTTTTTGTTTCCAACACCTGTCTCTGAGATTGAGCAGACCTCTTACATTGCGCAGTGTTGGTTGAGAGTACAAAGTGCTCCTGTCAGACTGACTCTCCAAAGGTTAATATCACCATTTGCAGAATCACACCCAACTTTTTTTTCCTTAAGAGGAGTGTTAAGTACAGATATATAACCACTTGTGTGTGGTTATATATTGCAGGAGGGGAGGATCTCATAAAATGCGATATAATCCCCTAGTTATCAAATACCCTTTACCCTGTGGGTGCAACTGCACTTTTTTATTGTGGATAGTCCGCTGCGGTTGACGGGTCCATGATCAGCAGTTTGAGGGCTCACAAAATGATTAATAAGACAAGAAAGAGACTTGTTTCATAAAATTAAGTGTATTTTTAACCTTTCTCTGATCTTTTGACTCTTTTGTTTTTGGGGGGGGTAAAATATTGCATAGGTTTTTTTATGTTCACAAGTTATTCACATTTAAAAATGCTCTTTGGTTAAACTGCTACTTTTATTATTGGTCATATGGCAAAATGAACCATTGGTTTATTGCATGATATGTTCACATTCTAAAACTCAAAGACGTCTAACAAGTTTATTTGCACAAACAAATAAAAATGATGTTACGTGTAATATAAAAAAAAAAAAAAATAACTTCATTGCAAAGTTAATTTTAAGCCATTGATGGTTCATATTTTGTTCACTTAATAAAAAAACTCTTGCTCCAGGTGTTTTTAACTAAACATCTTAGCAACAATTTGACAATAAAACCAGTTGCAGAGTAGTCACTTTTAAATGTGGGTTCATGGTGTAATAACCACACAGTAGCAAACACATGGACAAACATGCTGTTGTTGACATCATGTTTTCTGTGTCAGAGGGTTACAGTATCACTGTCCACCATCAGTGTGCTAGTGTCATATAATGGTTAAACAGAAAGATTAATGTCGTGTTTTTAACAATGCATTATTTTGCTAAGTATCTATGATTGCTTCAGCCCACAAGCTAAATCTTAGAAATGTAGCTTCTACCTTAGACCCTCTTTAATAAACACATTTGGCACTCTTGTCACAGCTTTTTAACTTCTCTAAGTGTTAGATATTGACGCCATAATCAGTTCAATTGGTGCTACTTATAGATTACAATCACAGTTTGATTTAATTGCATTTGTCATGTTTAATCCCCTTTTGATACATGTTGTACGTCCTTGACTTGAAATGTTGAAACCGTGTTGTGCAATACTTCCAAAATAACATTACCACAATACTAGTTGATACTGATTCTTAAAAAATCACCCCTGGTATTTTTGTCTCCCTGTAGACGTGCCTCACTCTGACCATAACCACTTAAATCTCACTCGTACTTAAAATCATGAAAAGGGAATGTCTCACTTCTTGTCCACCCAGTGTGTCATAGGAAGTTTTCTTTGTTTTGCATGCATCTGTCTATGCATGCTTGCACTTGTCTGAAAGAGTGTGTTCATGTGTGTGTGAAGGTGTGTGGCCGCAACTGAAGCATGAAACAGAGGAGTTGTATGGTTCCTCTCACTAATTAATGAGGCACGTGCCGCTGAGCACATTACCCTGCTGCTGCTGGTGAAATGTTACCATAGACACGCGCAAGCTGTGAGGTTACGCTCCGTCAAATTCCCATTGTGGGATGAAAACCACAGTGGATCCTATCCTCGTTGGTCTGTAATATGTGCTAAACCAGGACTTAAACTGTGGTGCAAGAATTGCTTGTGTAGTGAGCCACATACTGTAAAAGTATTGGACTACTCTTGATCTTGAGAACTAAGTTTGCAAGTGAAAACACACTTTTGAACCAGGGTTGTTAAAGGAAAAGATAGTTGGTTAGATGACTGAAAAACACTTTACAGTAAGGGGTTTGTTTCCCTTTTTAACAGCATTATCTTTTGTCAATTTTCATTCAAGACTGTTGGGTACCATGAGGTTGGGTACCATGAGGTTGGGTACCATGAGGTTGGGTACCATGAGGTTGGGCCTAAGGGGTCTGATTGTCCTTCAGCCAAGGCCGGAACATAATTGTCCTTTGGGCCATTTTGGAAATTATGTAATTTGTAGCTGTATTTTGGAACCAGTATTTGTTTTTGGACAATTAATTTATGCAACATTGGGTTTAAATAATGTGTAACTTCAGAACACTTCCATTTTCTTTGGCGTCTGAAGATCTTTACTACCAGGCCAGATGTTGTACGACAACTGGATTGCTTTATGGGAAAAAAAATAGAAAAAGCTTGTCTGACTTGCAATGACAGATGGTAGAACGAGTGAAAGGCTTATGGAAAAATCACTTCAAACATGATTATCCTCTTCAGTTAAGTGAAAGAGAAACACACTGGGTGTCATCAGCGAGGGGGAGGGGGCAAAGGTTGCAACATTTTCTATGCAAAGCAAAACCACAAGGGAAATGTGAAACGCTATCGTCTTAATTTAGTATATGGCAGTGCCACAAAGACGTATGTCGAAATGTCTTTACTGAGACCATCGTCAGTGCTCCTGAAACTCTGGGTCTAATCTCATGGACCAGCTGGTCACCACAGTGACTGATAGGAGCCTACTGGGTGGGCGTGGGCTCAGCGTGCTGGGAGTCCCCTTCATTCTCGTGATGACATTGTTACTGGCACATACAGAAAGCCTCTTCTGTGTTCCTACATCCAAATACTGCTGGTAGCTGTGACAAGCTGTAGGTCTAGGGCCTTAATGAGAATTTATGATAGTGACTTTTAGTCTCCTAGGGCCAGATTCCACTCTCAGAAAATGTTAGAATCAATACAAGAAGCAGAATAACACACAGTAGCCGTGTACCTCTGCTTGTTCTCAGAGACATTTTTGTTTCACTTTTGTGTTGGTTGGATTTCCTCCTTTTTGAATTTAACATTGAGCGCATTGTAACCATACCTTTCTCTTGAAGTTATATCAGATCAGTTCTAGGTACTATGTAGTAGTTCCAATGAATAATCTGGCATCTTGCAATACCTGCCTGAGCTTGGTTTTAGCAGCACGCTCTAACCATGTTAGTGAGTGTGTAGACCCTCCAATCTGTTACTTGTATTGTGT